CCTGTTGTTCCTTTTATCTCTTGACTCCCTACTTTAGCATTCCAATCCCCTAGAATGAGAAGAACATCTTTCTTTGGTGTCAGTTCTAGAAGGTGTTGTAAGTCTTCATAGAATTGGTCAATTTCAGCCTCTTCAGCATTGGTGGTTGGTGCATAAACCTGGATTACTGTGATGTTGAAATCATTCTGTCATTTTTGAGATTGTATCCCAAAACAGCTTTTCCCACTCTTTTGTTGATTATGAGGGCTACTTCATTTCTTCTACGGGATTCTTGCCCACAGTAGTAGATATGATAATTGTCTGAATTGAATTTGTCCATTCCTGTCCATTTTAGTTCACTGATGCCCAGGATGTCAATGTTTATTCTCACTGACGCCCAGGATGTCCTTGTTCTCCGCTCTTCCTCAGCAGCATGTTGGACGCCTTCTGACCTGAGGGTCCCATCTTCCAGCGTCATATCTTTCAGCCTTTGGTTTCTGTCCATGTAGTTTTCTTGGCAAAGATACTGGAGTGGCATTGCCAATTTTAGTTCACTGACGCCCAGGATGTCCTTGTTCTCCGCTCTTCCTCAGCAGCATGTTGGACTCCTTCCGACCTGAGGGGCCCATCTTCCAGCGTCATATCTTTCAGCCTTTGGTTTCTGTCCATGTAGTTTTCTTGGCAAAGATACTGGAGTGGCATTGCCAATTCCTGCTCCAGGTGGATTGCATTTAGTTGGAACTCTCCACTAGGACCTGTCCGTCTTGAGTGTCGCTGTATGGCATAGCCCATAGCTTCTCTGAATGACTCAAGCCCCTTCGCCATGACAAGGCAGCCATCCATGATGGGGACACCTACGCCTACAGACATGTAAATGAAAATAGGAGTCTTCAAGGTCCTTGCCAGCTGTGAAATGCCACACCATCAACCACGGGTGTCTAGGAAACAAACTGCCTCTTTGTTTTGCAGCGGTGTATAAATGTCTAAAGATTTGCCATGTAGTCCCACTCTTGTGTCTCAGGAAGTGGACAGTGTTGTAGAAGCTCACGTTAAAACAGAGCAGTTAGTCTTTAAAACGCCATAACCTTTTTCGACTTCTTTTTTTTATTCTTATTTTGGTTTTGGCCTCGCCCTATCTAGCCACCCTGATATGGGAACCAAGAGGATACTCGAGAAAACAAACGTGTGGTTTGTTTTTGCAGAATGCTTGGCCGTTCTAAGATCTGTTGCCCGAAAGCCTTGCAAGATTCTGTTCCATTGACCAGAATTGGCCTCTAGATCTTTTTTTTTGCACAGGGTCTGGCCCTGCGTTTCTTGCTCCGCGTGTGTGGGTGTTGCTTTGTTTTGTTTTGTTTAACTGTTAGTGTTGCTTGAAGTCGCCTGGGCAATCTCACGGTAAGAACTCAGGAAGAATCCACTGGAAATAGGGGTGGTCTTCCACGAATCGTGCCCTTTTCCCTGACAGGAGCTTCACGTTGGGGGTTTTGAGGTGGTTCCCTCCTCCTGTCCAAGAGGAGGCATTGCTGGGAAGGTGTAAGGAGATCAGCTCCCCAGGGTGAGATTCTGCTCCGGTAGCACAAAAAGCCTCATTTGCAACCGTCTTTGGTAAAGGAGAAACGCCAGTGCCTAGTCGGGGTTGTCTGAGTAATGAGGCTGGCCTTTGGATTCTCCGTGCAGAGCTGCCTAGAGAGGCAAAGCAGGGGACCCGAGGCGCTCCCGGGCTCTGCGAAGCCCCTTCCTCTGCCAGGATTTATCAGGGCCTTGTGGGTTAGGCAGCCTGAGCTTCTCTGGCCTGATAGGGAGCCTCCCGCCTTCGAGCCCAGGGCTCTTGGCCACAGCATTGGGTGCAGCAGGACAATGGGAGGGCTTGGCGTCTTAACTCCAAAGCCTTGCCTAAACCCCAGAAGGAGCTTCAGAAGGGGCGCCAACCATCCCACTGAGCTACAGCAATCATCATAATTGCACGCCATCAAGGCCGTTCTGACTTATGGCAGCCCTTTCCCTGGTTTTCCGAGTACTCAGAAGTGGTCCCCCATCCCCTTCTTCTGGGGGTGCCCGGGGTCCCCTGTGCAGCTTGTCCCAGGCCACAAGCAGGCTGGGGCTCTCCTCATAGGAGGCACAGGGTGGGGGATTCGAACTGAACTCCCAGCCTCTATCTCCGCACCCAGATCCCTAACTCGCTGAGCCACCCATGTCTTGCTCACACCACGGAGATCTATCTGGGCCATCCGTTCATTCTTGTGATTTTGGTTCCCCGGCCTCACCAGCTCCTCCATCGGCTTGACAAGGCCTTTCAAAAGCATGCCGACCCTCCGGCATCTTTGTGAAGCCACGGGGGCTTTGAGGCCTGAGCGCTGGGCGTGGGGGCTTCCTCTCTCCCCAGGCAGAACAGGCGCCCTCTGCCCTCCTCCACACCTGCCTTTTCTTCCAGAGTGCCCTCTTCTCCAGCCGACACTTCCTCCACCCCTGGCCGGCTCTGCCCTTAGGGCCAAAGCCATTGACCTGCTAGGCTCCCCGCCTCTCTTCCAAAGCCAATCTGACCTGCCGCAGGGGGGTTTCC